GATCATCAAGAAAAAGTCATCATCGATTTGAATGAAGAAGATGAAGATTTCATCAATAATAATGATATTTGGAAATATATAAATGTCTACCCAGAACAAGCAAAGGATACTCAAAGTAATGATGAATCAATCATCACTATTACTATGGCCGAATTAAAAGAAGAAAGAAGAAGAATTCAGTCAAAAAGAATGATAGATTTGGGCTGGAAAACTGTAACTCCAATCTGCTGATCACCTTCAGAATCACGTCAAGATAAAAATTTTGAAAATTTGAGAATAAGTAAGATAAAAATAAAAAAAATTGGGAACACAAATATCAACGATGACATAGTCGATATTACGTGATCGGAAACATCAGAAGATCTGAAAGAAACCTCCAGAAATTCTGAAATAAAGGGAGAAAAATGGATGCTCTTTCACGAGAAGTACACCATCCATCCACTCCCAAGTAGAACAAAAAATAATGGTATCAGCTGATGGCAATCACCAGCCAGAAATCATCGAGACCAAAAAATTGATAAACTAAAGAGAAGAAAATTCACGAGATTAGACACGTTAACAAGAAATGTTCAATCTCGAATTGATAGATTTAGCCAACTAATATAACCAACCAGGAATCTATCTGAAAAGAAAAACTGACTACAAAATGGACAGATTAATAAATTTAACATAAAAAGAAAGACAAATAAAATACAAATAAATAGAATAACTTACCTAACTCCAATGATGACAACTATTAGGAAATCGAAGAAGATAATGAATGGGATATGACCAGTATCCCATGGACGATAACAACGGACGACAGCGATAGCAATGATAACAACAACGAAACAGGAACACTCTACAAAAAGCAACATGAACAGACAGTTAGTACTATAAAATCATCATTCAACACCTTTCCTCCAGATAACGAAAATTGGACACGAACACATATCCATTTATCACCACCGACTACCATTATCACTGCTTCACCCCAAAGAAAAACAAACACCCGAAATGACGAAAAACTAAAAAAGAAAACAAAAATAAAAATGGGAAACTCACCTAATATACTCAAAAAATGGAGTACACACCTCACTGAATACTGGAAAATCCCAACATTACACAAAAACACATGCGTCCCCATTAAACCAAATGAAATTGTGAAAAACAACAAAAATAATGGTTTCTCCGTATATTTTAATACTAAAACAACAGTCCCTATGAAAAACACAAATAAAAATAATAATAACACAAGTACACAACCTACCAGTATTCCGATTTCTAGTTTTCAGCATTCTGAAAACAAGAAAAATATCCTCAACAATACTCCAATTAATAATTTAATTAATACTGTCACACTATCACATAATAAATTATATTCGCACACAAAAATCTATGATCAATCAAATTTGTGGATCATGAGTGACATCACACAAACAGTTGAATTATATACTACAGCCTGGAAATTAGGCATGTTTATTGGATCAAATTATGGATCTAAAAATCTAATGAACCCAAATAGATTTAGTTTCCCTTTAAAATACACTGATCCCAATTTATTATATATTTTTTTGTAACAATTTTCACATACCCTTGTAATTTCTTGTATCATGTCTATCCTTTTTCGTGTTATATTTATCATTTTCTTGCATAACATGTATAATTTAA